GAGCCGTATTGACTGTGAGACTGACCTGAACCTGAGCCATATTGACTGTGAGACTGACCTGAACCAGAGCCATATTGACTGTGAGACTGACCTGAACCAGAGCCATATTGACTGTGAGACTGACCTGAACCAGAGCCATATTGACTCTGGCACTGACCTGAACCAGAGCCATATTGACTGTGAGACTGACCTGAACCTGAGCCATATTGACTGTGAGACTGACCTGAACCAGAGCCATATTGACTCTGGCACTGACCTGAGCCAGAACCTTGTTGACTAGGGAACTGACCTGAACCACACCCATGCTGACCAGAGGACTGACCTGAACAAGACCCATGTTGGCCAGAGGATTGACTAGATCCAGACCTTTGTTGACCACATTGAGAACCAGCCCCTTTTTGACTGGAAGCAGATGAGTGGCTACAGGAACCAGATCCATAAGTAGAAGACGGTCCTGCTCCAGAACCATATTGTCCAGAGCAAGAGGACTGACAGGGGCCTCTTCCCTGTTGTTGTCCTCTACAGTTCTGTGGCTGATCACATGCTCTAGATCTCTGTCCTCTGCCACTACAAGACTGGCTACAGGACTCAAAATTATGTTGACTATATCCAGAAGCCTGACATCCATGATCTTGTCCTCCCCAACTGCCTGACTGGCATCTTGACCGAGTACAGCCAGACTGATTTTCTTGTGTGCTGTATCTACAAGGACTACAAGCATTTTGTGGCCTTCCACCCCCTCCTGAATTGCTGGACCAGCATGCTTGCCTTTGTCTCCCACAATCTCCTGTACTATCAGAGCCAGAATCAGGCCTTTGACCTCTACTCCTTGACTGAATAGAACTTGATCCAAGTCCCCTACCTTCCAACCCATGTGACAGACTGCCATGACCTTTCCTTCCCCTACCCTTTGATCCAGATCCAGAGTCATATTCTTTCCCAGATTCCCTAGAGCGGCTAACACTTAGCTTGTTTCTTCTTTCCCCATCCTCTCCAGAGCTGGAACCAGATCTCTCTTTGTTACTACTCCGTGAATGACCAGAAATAGACCCACGGCGCCTTTTCTCAGATCCATCTTGGTCCTCAGAACCGGATAAGCTGCTTTGCCTTCTCAGCCTCCTGGAGTCAGACCCATGTCTATGGCTCCCATTTCCCCTTGAGTCCCCAAAACTATACCCATGTTCCTCTCTCTCATTCCAACTTGGATTTCTGTAACCTGCTTTCGGTTGTGTTTCATCTTCGTCTTCTGTTTCACTGTCTTCCTCTGGGTGGCGGCGACCGTATCTACGTTTCTTTGACCCTGAAGCCTTGCAGTATTCTTTGCCAAGCACCTTATTACAGGCCATAGCTAGCTTGAAGACCATCAGAAGAAATTCTGTAAAGTCCAATCTCCGGTCATGATCTCGGTCCAGCATATGCATGATGACATCCACTGTGTCTGGATCATCTGGGTTCTGTGTATGAGCAACAGACAGGAGAGCTTTGGTGAACTTAGCTCACATACTCAGTTTAAAAATTCAGTATGAGCATGGAATTGTGGCTATTTGGCATTTGGTCATTTTAGTTAAATTAATAAAAAGAGGTAATTGAGTAAGTTTTCACTCACTCTTTAGGCTAAGGCAGCCTAATAGAACCCAAGCATTGTGAAGAGGTAACAGAAAAGAGTAAAAACTATTGGGATCTTTGGAAGATACAGTATTCCTAGATTATTAAATGCTGTATTCCTAGATTATTAAATGTTCAGGAGTGGACTAGAAGGAAGAGTAGAATAAAGCAAGTCCAGTAACAAATGTGCTTTAGTTTTAAATAAACTTAACACACTACACTAACATATGCTGTATTAGGGCCACTTATTTTGGAGTTAAGAGCTGAGTCATTCTTAAGTGGATGGGAAATGCTTGTATTTTGTTTTTAGTTTATAATCATTCTGTCTATCTTTGCCAATCCCACTACCACTTCCCCCACACATATTTGATATATTTAGAACTGGCTCCATGAATTAGTGATCGCCTATGTGGTGAGACTGGTAGGCCATACCTCTCCTAAGTCCTAATCATTGTAAATGATGTCTCATTGTTTTGATTTTTTCATCCCAAGAGCAATATACTAATTCCTATTCAGTCCATGTCTTCCCTTTTCATAGGGGGGTGCTTGGAGGCCCGTGAGACTCTGAGTGTCCACAGGGTGGAAGTTCACAGGAAAGTGAGGCGGAGTCATAAATGCTGCAACAGCCTTTCTGATTTTACAGAAATACTGCACAGAGTTACTTTATCTTTGGTCATGCAATAGAGCATCGACAGGACCCCAGCAGCCTTTAATCCTGATACGTGGTCCTTACCTTCAGAACTGGGCGAAACTCTTGCTCCAGAAGTTCCTTTAACTCATCCTTGCTCAGTGTGCCACACTCGCCGTCTTGCTTGGTGTATTTGTAGAAAACATCGATGACTGTGACAACACTTCTCAAGAGGTCAGTCATCTTGCAAGTTGAAGTGAACCTGAGTAGAAAACCAAAGCCAAAACACCTTGTCATTCATTTCCTTTCCTTTGGCCTTTCTTGGAAGCCTGGTGTGAACTACTAGTTTTCAAGCCTCTTGTCCCTTTCAAACCTAGCAGACCTCAATAAGTAAGGAAAGGTGAGGAAAACATCATACCTTTCGACATAAGGAAAACAAACACAATATAATAAGCTTCTTTGCTAAGATCAAGTCACGGTCTATTAGTGTCCTAGCTGGGCCTAGCTCTCAAGTTTCATATTTCTTGTCTGAATATACACCTCTTTATTCAATATCCATAGGAGGAAGATATGGCAATCTGCTTTTATAAATATATCCAAACTGGAAACCCCGATGGAGCACTTGTGCTGTGTCCTATAGGATCGCTGCAAGTGGGACTTGACGGTAGGAAGCTTGGGTTTAGGCAATATATATACACTTCCTCTGTACGTCGAACACTTTGGTTTGCTGGGTCTTGTCTTGGAGCAAACAAAATTTGTAGACCCACCCAGAAACAATTGCCTCAGTCTCTTCTTCTGATTTCACATTTCCCTGAATCAAAAGTGACAGATCATTTACGCGACATGCTTATATCTCCTCCGGGTACCAGATGCTAACCTGGATCTTTTAGGCCTTTGACTTATGAAAAATGGGTGATGATTCAGGAGGCAAAGCTATGAATACCTCTTAGACATAACAAAATTTCTTGAAGGAATGAATCACTGAGCCTGGGGAATCAGGACCATCGTCCCAGGGGAGACTTGTCTAATGTCATAACATAGCTCACAGAGAAAATGGTTTACCTCCTTGTTGGGTGAATAGTGGCTAAGGTCTGAAAAGGTCATGAACAGCTATGTAAGGTACAACCCTTGTCTCTCCCCATCCAGAGTAAAAAAGAACGATGAAACTAGAAAGACCGATCGAAGCAATGAGTCCAGTGGTCTAGCGGACCACGCTAGTCTGAGACCAAAATAATGAGATGGTGCCTGGCTGCCATTACCAACTGCTTTGAAGAGGGTTACACTTGAAGGTCCTGGGACCCACTGGGAGGAAATGTGGGACAAAATTCAAAATTATGAAAGAGACCAGACTTCCTGGTAGGATAAAGACAGCGGGGATCCCTGCGATGATGCCCCTAGTCATTCTTCAGATCTGTAACTGAACTCACCCTGGGGGTGTGATAAGCAACCAACACCCAAATGGCAGCATTTAGCCAATGATGAATTTCAGAGGGCTAGGGATGAAGGAGGAGGAGTGACAGGAGACTAAGTGGTGCTGCATTGAGTTGAAACTAAATACAAATAATTGAATGTGAGACGACGATCTGTTCTGTAACCTTCAACTGATTCACAATAAAACGTTGAACTAAGGAGGAGGTGAGTCATGAGGGACCTTGATCTTCAAAAGCACAGAATAGCCCTCACCGGAGGTCAGCAACTATACCACTCTCAGCCTTCCACCAAACTCTGTTCCCGTTAATTAATCAAGGAGAAGTCACCAATGCAGGCAGCAGTTTGACTGGTGTCTGTTTACATCTTGGAGATTGGTATCTGACACTGAAAAAGAAAGGGGCTCTATACCAGTGCCAGCCTCCCTCTGTTTGGGCTAGATCTCTCAAGAAAGATGCCAGAGAGGGGAGAATAACCCAAGAGAAGGCTCATTTCTACTTGTAATTTTCTTCCTCCTAATGACAAATTTATTCCCCAAAGACTGCAGAATGAACTAAACTAACCATGCACAGCCCCCAAAAGAACAGCAGATCCAGTCCAGGTGTCTCGGAACTCTGTCTCAGTTCTTACTTCTGGATCTTTAACTATGGCCACACCAAATACATGTAGTATATATAGCTGAATGAATTTTCTCTTACCTAGTTCACCAAAGGAACAAGCAGGATAAAGCCGGATGCAGCCTGCAGGGTAATGGTGGTTTGGAATAGTGGCCCTTATATAGCTTATCTTATATGGGTGCTGCCCTCTGTGGGATGGCCTGATTCATTACTAACCCAGTCTAACTCCACCTCTGTTCATGTTTATCTTCTTAAAATGCGTGATTGCAAAAAGTCTGGGCCAGCCCCACCTTCTATATAAGGACATGTGGCAGGGCACCTTTTTTAGAGTCACACATTTGTGAAAACCAGAGATCATGTTGGAGAGCACTCATGTCGTTTATATTTCCTTTCTCTAGGACACACGATATAGCAGAGTGTTAGGTACTTGGCAAGTAAATGCTTATTTAATTGAAAGAGAGTCACATGTATGTACACGAGCCATGAAGTTGCTTAATTCATGTATTTTACTAATAATAACTATCACTTATTTGGAATTTACCATGTGCTAGCTATTTTGCTTACTACTTTTCTCCCATTATTTTATTTAATCATACACACACACCCTTTTATAGACCAACAGGTTCAGAAAACAAGAATTTTATCAAGTCGTGAAACTAGTATGTGAATGAGTCAGAATTTAACCTCCCAATGCCCTTACTCTTGACCATTTTATTAGCTCATCTATTTATTATGCAAAAAAGAATTGTTTTAGCGTGTCATGCTCACCCAAACATAAACAATATGAAAAAGTAATATGAGGGACACTACCAGCCAAAGAGACAAAGCATGTTCTCTGGCTCTCTTCTGGGCTCTAGAAGTATAAGCTAATGTGTTGGTAGGGGTCATTGGACTAGTTCCCTCGTTACAACAGAATGGCGCGTTTCTTAGTCCTGGGCTGTTCTCATAATGCTGGAGCACATTATTGCAGCCGCTGTGCCAATTCATCTTCTTGAGAGTCCTCCTTTTTTTTTGTGTCCCCACCTACCCTGTGCTTTCCTGAACACGATCTCTCTCCTCGGGACTAATCCCTCTGAGAACATATCCACAGCATGCAAAATGAAGTCTTACCGTTTTCCTCTCTAGAAGCATTCAGACTTGTTCATTCTTCTGGTAGTCCATGGGTGTGTGTGTTTTTTTTTGTGTTTGTTTGTTTGTTTTTATCAATATTCTTTGCCAACACCATAATTCAAAGACATCGGTCTTATCTGGTCTTCCTTACGTGTATGGTCCAGCTTTCACCTGCATATGAGGGGACTGAAAGTACCATGGCTTGGGTCAAGAAGTTCACCTTAATCCTCACAAGGACATCTTTGCTTTTTAACATTTAACATTTTGCAGCAGATATACATAAAATTGTGTTTTCAGAAGTGTTGAAGTGGATATAGAGTGGACTTTGTTTGTGTGGAATTTCCGCCCGCTTTCTTTTCCATTGGTCGCTTAGCAGTTTGGAGCCTGGACCCTTGGAAAATGTCACTTATATACATGAAGTAGATCGATTGTAATATCTGAAAGAGACAAAATAATTTGTAAGTATGTGGCATAATCTACATACTCTCTGTACTTGCCACCAGATGTTGATGATAACAGTTATCGTTAATTAAGTGCTTCCTTTTTAAAGACACAATGTTTCTCATCCTTATTTATTTATTCTTCAAAATAATTCCTTAGGGTCAGGATTTATTATTGTTATCCTATTTCTACATTGAGGAAATAGGAACATAAAGAATTGAATGACTCATCAAAAAATCACAGCTAGAAAGTGACAGCTCTATCTATCTATCTATCTATCTATCTATCATCTATCTATCAATTAAATTGCCAATTCCTATTTGGGCACTCCTTTGGTGCAATTGGAAGAAAGACAAAGCATTCTATTCCTGTGAAGATTTACAGCCTCAGAAATTCACAGGGGCAGTTCTACCCTGTCCTAGAAGGTCGCTGTAAGTTGGAATGGAGTCGATGGCAGTCAGCTGGTTTTTTATCCTCTTTGTGTTTTTTTTATATAATCATCATATTGTATTTACCACATCATTCTAGATAGGACCTAGAATTTGTTAAACACTTAGAATTAGTGTCTATCATGAAATGCTAATGGTGAGCTATAACCATTGCTCTCATAGCCAGAGAGTCCTTAGATCAAAACCACTGCACAGAAAAGTATGTGTCCTCTTAGATACGGTAGTCGTGTTTAGTGGTATACATCTTTTGGAATTGTGTTTCTTTTGTTGATATCAGTGTTGACTCAGTCCTCAGTTTTTCAGGGTCCCAGACTCTACCCTTGTGGAGCCTTCTAGTTAAGAACTTTGAAACTAGTTCCAAAATAGGTCTTTTAGAACTCTGGGATTTATTTTTTTATATTCTTAGGTTCAGATCTCTCTTCCTCTGAGTTCAAATCTCATCTTTTCCTTTTACTGTCTGTGTTGTTTTGGCAATTATCTAATCCTCTAAACTTCCATTTACCAATTTTTATAATGAGAATAAGACTAACCTCACTCATGGAGTGTTTTTCTTTGTCTCATCTTATCCACGAGGAGTCTTCCTTAAGAGAAAGTAACCCGCGCTGGTGTCCTGTAGTGGGCAAATAGAATTCCGTACGGACTTTCGTTAGGAACTAAGGAGGGTATGTGCCTATTAGAAGAGCAGACCTTTTCCTTGTACTATGAATCTGAAAGGAACTGTGGTAGTTAAGTGTTGTGCTATTAGCCACAAAGTCGGCAGTTCAAACCCATGTGCCCCTCCTTGACGGAAAGATGAGGTGGTCTGTTCCCATGAAGATTTCCTGTTTGGGAAACTGTAAACCAGCCAGCTAAGGAGTAGTTCTACTCTCTCCTAAAGGGTCACTATGAATCAGAATCAACTCATTTATAATGGGTATAAATCTTAAGAACGTCTGTTTTGGGATTTCTCATATGAACTCAATTTGGAGCGGATCATGGAAGGTTGATTTAGAGAGATTGATGCTTAGTTAATACTTCCCCACCCCCCATCCCCCAAGAGCCATTGTGGGAGCTGGTTTCAGTTCATAACATGATGCAGTAGACAACAAACCAACAAACACTGACGTAGTAAGACAGGTGATTTTTGTGTCACGGCCCCAACATACACTACCTATACACCTTGTTTCTAAATCTGAATCGGTTTCCACACATCTTACAG